TGGAGGTGGAGCACATTTTTCTTAGTAAAGCATCACAACAATGGAGAAACAAGAATCCAATGTACTCAGTTCTAATTTGAAGGCAGTAGATGATCTAATACAAGGTGTGGGGTAGGTAAATGGGTGATCAGGAGAGGGGAAGAGAGAGGGGGATGGGGGTCATGATGTATGGCACACATCTTGGAGGAGAAGCACAATTACAAGAGGAACTTTACCTAACAAATGCAATCAGTGGAACCTATATTTTGTATCCTCAATGAACCTCAAACAATTAAAAATAGTTAAATCTGGTAAAAAAAAAAATAGAGTTGGCAGAGTACATTTAAAAACATGATAAAACAATATTCTGTCTACAAAAAAAAAACTTACTTCAAATACAATAACCTGTCTAATGTTAGACATTAAAGAATGAAAGAGATATACAATGCCATCAGTAATAAAACCAAAAACCTGAGTGCCTACATGGGTATTAGATAGTATAGACTTTAAAAGAAAGAAATTGTTAGAGACAAATAGATGTATTATGTAATGATAAAAGGATAAATCAACTCTTACAGAGCAACAGAGCCTCAAAATACATGAAGCATAAACTAACAGGCATAAAGGACAAATAGGTAAAATCTACATGAATAGTTGGGGACTTCAAACTGCCCTCCTCTGGCAATTGGTAAAACTATTAAACCAAATGATCAAGGATATACAAGAACTGAACAATACCATCACCAATGAGATCTCATAAACATATATAGAATATGCTACCCAACAAGAGATTACACATTCTTTTTCAAGTGCTTATAGTAAATTCACCAAAATAGGCCATATCCTGAGCCATAATACAGTCTCAACAAATGTAAAATAATTGAAATTATACAGTGTGTTCTTTGTTTATAATGGAATCAAACTAGAAATCAATAACAGAAAGACAACAGGAATATCTCTAAAATTAAACAATAGACTTCCAGATGATCCATGGATCAAAAAATTAATCTCAAAGAAAAAAATGTAATGTATGGAACAGATTAAAATTAAAATCCCACCTATGTTGGTTTGCACTTAAAGCAGTGCTGAGAAAGAAATTCACAGAACCAGATGCTCACATTTCAAGTGAAAGAAAAAAAAACCCTCAAATCTATGTAAGTTTCTATCTCAACTAGTAGGTAGGAGTGATAACTTTATAGATTAATAGAATATGTTCAAAGTAAGAACAAGGTAGTAAATAAAAAGATATAGTGAAAATTAGTCAAATTTAAAGCAGGAAAACAATAGAGAAAATCAATGAAACAAAAATCAGGTGCTCTCAAAAAATACAATAAAATTTATAAGCTGCTTATAAGACTGATTAAAAGAAAAAAGATAGAAAATATTAAAACAGAATAAAATGGGATATCTCTACAGATTTTACAGTCATTAAAAGAAAAGGGTAATTTCATGAACAATTTTATAATATAACAATATAGAAGAAATGAAATTCTTCCTTAAAAATCACAAACTACTGAAATTCCGCCATCATGACTTAGATGATATAAATAGCCTTATAGTCATCAAAGAACTGAATCCATAAATTTAAAAATCCTGAAAAAGAAATCCCAAGGCCCATATGGTTTCACTGGAGAATTTTACAAAGCACTTAAAGAAAAATTAACACTAATTTTACGCATTCTGTTCCATAAGGTAGAAGATGAGGGCTCTCCCAATTTATTTTGTAAGGTTACTATTACACTGAGATCAAATCCAAATAACCTGCAGATCAATAACTCATTAATTTAAACATAAATATACCTCAGCAAAATACCGTCAAATGAAATTCACCAATGTATAAAAACAATTATACACCATGAAAAGTTGGGATTTGTTCCAGGTTTGCACAGCTGGTTCAAAATTGAAAAATTAACCAATGTAATCTACCACATCAAGAGACTAGAGAAGAAAAATCATATGATCATATCAATTGAAAACACAGAAAACATGGCTGACAAAATGTAATGCCCATTCATGCCCATTCATGATAAGAAAAAAAAAAAAACCTCTCAGAACATTAGGAACAGAGGGGGACTTCCCCATCTTGATTAAGAAATTCTATAGAAATATTACATTTCACATCATATTTAATGGTGAAAAGCTCAATGCTGTTCCTTGCTACCAGGAACAAGGAAAAGATGTTAGCTCTCAACATTGTTATTCAACGCTACTGGAAGCTTCAGCCACTGCAATAAGGTGAGTAAAGGAAATAAAAGGTACACAAATTTAGAAGAACTAAGACTACTATCCTGATGGCAGACACATGGAAAGTCCTGACTTTAGCATTATACCTAGTATCCACATAACAAAAATATTCGTACCCCCTTTAATTTTGAAATTAAAAATAGAACTAAGAATGTCCCTGTTTTCTAGGTGACAAGATTTTTTACATAGATCATCCCAAGGAATGCAGGAAAAATAACCTCCTAGAACTATTTCATAAATTCAGCAAGGTTCCAGGATACATGATCAACAAACAAAAATCAATCACATTTCTGTACACTAACAATGAACATGTAGAAACAGAAAATTTAACACACAATACTATTTATAATTGCTCCACAAAACATGAAATATGAGGGAAAGGCCCAGAAAAATGTGTACAGTATATGTATTCTGAAAATTACCAAATGTTGATCATAGAAACCAAAGGCAACCTAAACAAATAGAGATATACCATGTTCATAGATAGGAAGACTCAACTTAATAAAGATGCTAGTGTTCCCCAAATTGATCTATAGGTAAAATTCATTTCTATAAGAATCCTAGCAAGGTTATTATAGACATACATCTCATTCTAAATTGTATATGAAAAGGCACAGGACCTAAAATAGATAAATTGATTTTGAAAGAAAAAAAGTGAAAGAAATCATTCTATCCAATGTTAAAGCTTGCTCCATAGCCACAGCAATCAAGACAGTGTGGTACTGGTGGAAGGATAGATATATAAGTGAATGTAACAGAATAAAGAACCAAAGAACTTAGTTATAAACTTACACAAGTATGCCAAAGTGACTTTTGATGAGGTGCAAATGAAGTGAAATAGGCTTTCAACATATGCCAGAGAAATTGAATATCTATGGACAAAAATAATGAATATCAACCTGAACTTCACACATCTTATACAAAAATTAAAATGGATCACAGAAAACTAAAGCATGAAAGTAAAAAAAAAAAATCAGGAAAAATCATAAGAGAAAATCTTTGGGCTTTATCACTAGACAAATAATTAAAAAATAGACTTTAAATATAAGTTAGTTTCATAAAAGTACTGAGTACATTGTATACTTTTTCTTCCATTATTGAGATACTTTACTTAAAAGAGTATGTTTCAGCTCCATCCGTGTAAACATAGATTAAAAAGGTTGAAAGAAAATAGACTTGATAACAAAAGTTTAAGCCATAAAACCAAAAAGTGATAAATTTGACTTCCTCAAATCTAATAATTTTTACTGTACAAAAGGTCTTGTGGAGAGGATGAAAAGATAAGCTATACACTTGGAAAGAATATTTGCAAAGCCTATTTGGCAAAGAACAAGTATCTAGAATATATAAAGAACTCTCCAAACACAACAATTAAAAATTCAAATGACCCAGTTAGAAAATGGGCAAAAAACACAAACAGATAATTCACTGAAGAACACAGATCGGGGGCGGTGGCTGTAGCTCAAAGGAGTAGGGCACCGATCCCATAGGCTGGAGGTGGCAGGTTCAAACCCAGCCCCAGCCAAAAACTGCAAAAAAAAAAAGAAAATGGATGGCAAAGGAGCACATGAAAAACTGTTCAACATCTTTAGCTATTAGGGAAAAACACAGTGAAATGCCACAACACACCTATCAGAATGGCCAAAAGAAGAAATAGTGACAACATCAAATACTGACAAGAATGTGGAGAAATTGCATCACACATAAATTTCTGGTGGGAATTATAGCCACTCTGGAAAAGATTATGACAGTTTCTTATAAAATTAAACATGCACTTATATACCCAGACCTCTTGGGCACTTATCCCAGGGAAATTAGAACTTATGTATATACACACAAACAAGAAACATTACATAAATGTTCACCACATCTTTATTTGTAAGAATCCAAAACTAGAAACAGTTTAGATGTCCCTCAACAGGTAAATGGTTAAACAAACTATGGTACATCCATCCCATAGCATAGTACTCCAAAATAACAAGAACAAACTATCAATATACACAATGCTTATGATGGATTTCAAGGGAATTATACTGACTGAAAAAAAACCTATATGAAATTTCACATATTGAATGTTTCTATTTATATAACACTCTAAAAATGACAAAATTACAAAGATGAAGAGCAAATTAATGATTGCCAGGGGTTAGGAAGAGGAAGAGGAAAGGAGGTTATTATGACTATAAAAGGATAACACAAGGATACTTCCACATCTTAACTTTGGTGGTGGTCATATGAAGATACATGTGAAAAAAATACATAATACTAAATACACACACATACAAGTGCATGTAAAACTGATGAAATCTGAATAATGCCAATGGATTTTATCATCAGTTTCCTGGTTCTTATATTGTACTATAGCTATACAAAATATTATTTTGGGGAACAGTGGACAAAGAGTACATGTGAAGCTATAATGACCTCAAAAACATTTTTATAAAGTTAATGAAACTTTGTGAATGTATGTGAACTTCCAGCTACTGCCAACAGAAATAGAAACTACAAGATAAAGGAAAAGAAAAACATTTGGTGGAGTAATTGATGAGTTTGGTTTGGACATAGTTTCTCTGAAGTGTCTGTATTGGCACTCTTCACTTACCACCTGTAGTTGTACTCTTCACCTTCTTAAATATGCCACCTAAAATTTCATCATGTATTTCAACAACTTAGGACCACATTTTTAGACTATGAGTTCATGAACATTTATTTTGTTATGCAAAAATATGGTTTATGCACAAAAATTAATGAATCTCTAACAAAGTATATACTTTTAGGCTGTAAACATAGCTGGGGTTGGAATGTTTGGAGGAACTGGCATAGTAACCACACCAGCAACAATACCAGCAATAGTACCAATATTACATGAAGTTGAAAACAAAGTGCCTGCCAAATTGGCATCATCTTGCATTGCTATTCAATGGGAGGAACCAGACTGCCATGGCTCTCCAATCACTGGATATAACATTGAATATGGAAATAGAAAAATTTTGACTGTTGAGAGAGTAACAGAGTATCTTTTGAAAAATCTACAGCCTGACACCATATACAAGTAAGTCACACGTATCTTACTTTGGGTAAATGGAAAGCTTTTTGAGAATTTGAGCAGATCTACATTTTTATAGTTTATGTAGTCTACATAGGACTTCCTTTGAAAGTGAGTTTTACTGTTTTGGACAAATTTAGCACACGAAGAGCCAGTTTTTCCCTCTCATCAACAATTGTCAATGGTGATTATGCACATTCAAGATTTTTCTTTTGAATATTTGTCTCTAATAATTAGTACAATATGTTGGTGAATAGTCTACATAGTTACTGGGGGGTTAGGTTATATGATTTTATTTTATAAATATAAATTAATATATTTTAACTTTTTCTTCTGAACATTAGAATCAGAATTCAAGCTATCAACCATTATGGACTAAGCCCTTTTAGCCAATCAATAAGAATCAAAACTAAGCCACTGCCACCTGAGCCTCCACATCTTGACTGTGTAGTCTCTAAACACCAGAGCCTCAAACTTAAATGGGGTAACCCTGTGAGCAAGGGGTTGCTTTCCAACCTTATAAGCTACAACTTGTTAATGGGAGATTGTTCTGGCAGGTAACCTATTTTTACTATTTTAATATGTATTATAATAAAATTGTTTTAAAATTTCATATTTTTAAAATAGGCTTGGGGGTTCAAGTGTTTTTTTTTTTTTTTATTATATGGATGAATTATATAAGGGTGAATTCTGGGCTTTTAGTGTACCAATCAGCCAAATATTGTACATTGAAGGTAATTTTTTCATCCCTCACCCTCCTCCTGCCCACTCACCTTCTGAGTCTCCAGTGTCCATTATACCACTCTGTATGATCATGTATACTCTTTGTTTAGCTTCCACTTTTGAAAACATAAGCTATTTGTTTTTCCATTCCTGAGATACTTCACTTAGCATAATGGCCTCCAGTTTCATCCAAGTTACTGCAAAAGACATCATTTTATTCTTGTTTATGCCTGAGTAGTTAAAATTTATCTGCATGCTATAATCCAAAGTGGTTTCAATGAATTAACAGATATGAAATAAGGCTATTACCATGTTAAATATACTTTCTTAAATTCTTGCTCATAATTGATCTATCTCTTTTTATTCTCAAAATTATTCTTCCCTTTATATAATACACATTAAGTATCAAGGAATAGAAGTTACCTAAAAAGCATGAAAGCCACAATCTTGCCATTTGGACACTTACAACCTGATTTTTTTCTTTGTTTTATCTATCTGAGTTTGAATTTATTTACTTAGGCCTCATTGAGGTTTTAAAACCAGTTTTAAGTTAGTTATACAAATAGTTATTTGCATCTGTATAACTGTTGATTAGTAATATTACTTCCCTCATCTCCTTTCCCATCTCCAGATTTTCTATCATTTACCATGGACCTTGTCAGACTCACAAAGTGCAAAGATTGGGTGAATATACTCAATACAAATTTAAAATCCAGGCATGCAATGAAGCTGGTGAAGGACCACTGTCTGGTATCTATACTTTCACTACAACCAAAACTCCACCAGCCACACTTAAAGGTAAGTATTATAAGCCATGACACTGAAAGGTGTATTAGAGTTCCAAAAGTTCATATACAAAATTCAGCTTTACCTTTTATTTTAAATATTCAACAATATAATACCAAAAGAGACTAGTACTAATTATGGATTATCTACTATCACTCATTTCTCAAAAGAAAGAAGCTAAGTCTCCAAAATGTAAGTTGCTTAGCTAAAGGACACCCTGTGTCAGTGGCAGAACCAAGATTAGAATTTTATACTCCTGATTCCCATTTACTTTGTCATGATATCCACTCATTGCTATATCTTTTCTTTTCTCAAATGGATTATTGCACAAAAGATATTTATTGATAGGTGTGATTAAAGCTGAAATATAAGACTATATAAGTTTAGTAAGATTAATATCTGACACTCTGAATATACTCTCATTATTTGAATAACAAAATAAAATGCTATTAATAATACTTAACAAAGAGTCCAATTTACTGTCACTGGAGCCTGGGATTTGATGATATTTGCCTTCTTAATTTTTTTTTTTTATTGAATGGTCCTTCTTAATTGTAAGATTTCATTGTTCTACTTAATCCACACATGAGTCCAATCACTATTAGAAAATAATTTGTCTTTGATGTAAAGCTAACTGGAACATCTTAGAATTAAACATGTCTTGTCTAAGACCATAAGAATGCCTTACTCTCTTTCTGAATAATGTCCTATATATTTAAGCACCATTTCCCTAAAGTGTAGAGCAATTAATAATATAAAATAAAAAGCTTGCCCTAGTTACCTGACACATTTTCCATGATATTAAAATAAAATTATTAATATACATTAAAATCCTTATGAATGGATAATGTATCACAAAAGTTATAATGAAATCTTACTAGAAAATCAAAACATGGATTATTGATTGCTTTAATTTCTTAAAGTTTTTATTACAATCATTAAGATGCCTGATGGTACAGTAAAAGGCTTTCCAATAAGAACTGTCATATACTTCTTAGATTAAGCCTATACAGGCTTCTTTTAATGGCCATGGAATTGTATGAGGTTACAATGTATTCAACATTGCCCAGGAAAAATGGGAACTCTCTAATCTGAAATTCTCTTTTTTTAGCACCTAAATTACATCAGCTGAATAGCAATATTTGTGAGATCAAATGGGAGTCTTTGGAGCCAATAAAAGGAGATCCCATTGTTTATAATCTTCAACTTATCAGTAAAAAAGGAACTGACCTGGTAAGTCCTTGCAAATTTAGTCTTTAAAAATTTATAGTTTTAGATCCTGTGGGGATTGAGCTCTTGTGAAGGAGCAAGATACTCTTTTAGGATGTTTAAAGTAACTAAACCTTATCCAGAAGTTCTATGCAGTCCCTTAAAGCTTATGTACATAAGTATTTATTTTAGGACAGTTAGCTTATTCATTTAATTAGTTTATTACTATTGTTAGTTGGTATTTCTCAGTTCCATCAACTACCCTACACAACTCAATTAGAAACCTAATGCAACTGAACCTTAACAATTATAAGTCTTTGTTATTTCTTTCATTAAACAAAATTGCCTAAACAGTACTGGGTCCTCAGGACATTTAGAGGCTTTGTAAGAGTCAATTTTCTGTTGTTGTGAACATGCTTATGAGATCAACGATTTCATATTTTTCCTCTTGTCAAAAAACATACATTATTTTATTTGTTAATAAAATACAATTTTCATTTTGACTCCTTTTACTTTAGATTTACAAAGGACCAAACACTTCATTCTCCTTTTCCAACTTTCTGACAAATTCACATTATCGCTTCAAGGTCTGCGCTGGACGTCAATATCAAAATTCTGCTGGGATAAATGAGCTCTGGGGATCATATAGCCCCAGTGCTCTTTTCTCAACTCATAAGCACCAGCCAGCACCTAGCAAAGACAGTGGAGAAAAGGGGGAAAGCAACCCTAGTGAAGACAAAGATGAAAAGCCTGGAATAGAGATGAGTGAGGATACATTTATTCTAATCCTTGTGATAGGATTTGCAGTTATTGCTATTCTGTGTGGTGTTACAATTCAATACTTCCCAATTAACTAGTCTATTTTTATGCATTTTCACCTTTTTAGGAAGTTCTAAAACAAATTATATCAAATATATAAATTATTAGATACATCTCATCTCTTACATAAAAGAAAAGCTCATTGTGTAAAAATCCTTACAAACTTTTTTTTGGCAGTGAAGGAACTGCCTTAATACTGAAGAAATTCATTGTGACAGTAGAAGAGATTTTTTGAAGAAATAATTCTATTTTAAATTTCATAATTTTGGCAACAAAAACAATCTCATTATTATATAAGACTAAAACCTCTCATGAAAATTATTCCTTGCCTTAGTTTTTCAAATTTATATTTTGCAAACTTTTTAGAATTATGAGAAGACAACAGCATTTTAGAATTTTATTTATAACAAAGTGGAAAAAATCAATTCTACATGTCAACTTACATTCACATGAAATAATAAAAAGGGTCTACCAAACTTCTGTATTGTAATTTTTTCAAAGTAATATATTTAGCTGTTTGATTTGTGCCCTCATAATTACTTTGGGAGGGAAATAGTGGGATATTGGGAAAATAGTTATTTATAACATTTTTGAAATGGAAATAAGGGGGTGGAAAGCCATTTCATACCGTTCTAAACGCTAAAATACGTCTTGTATTTATTACCCTCTAATTGGAATGATTAAATGTTATATATGGAAAGACACATGTTTACATGGCATTTTTTCTTTAAGCATGTAGCCCTTTGTGCTACATTTAGTTTTGCAAAGTATCTGCCTATACTTCCATGTATTACATGACTGTGTTAAACAAATACATTTATTTGTAAAAACGCTTTAGCTGTGCAAAATTATGGCTTTTAAAAAATGTGTAGATAGTCAGTTCACTTTCAGCCCATCCCAGTATATATATCAAAGCATGCATTAAAAAATAACTTTAGTATGGTAAAACTACTCTATGTGCTGTTTCCTACAGTATTTATTATTTTTTTTTTTTTTGGTAGAGACAGAGTCTCACTTTATCACCCTCAGTAGAGTGCTGCAGCATCACAGGTTACAGCAACCTCCAAATCCTGGGCTTGAGCAATTCTCCTGCCTCAGTCTCCCAAGAAGCTAGGGCTACATGTGTCAGCACAACACCCAGCTATTTTTTGTTGCAGTTTGGCTGGGGGCCAAGTTTGAACCTACCACCCTCTGTATATAGGGCCAGTACCCTACCCACTGAGTCACAGGCACTGACCCCAATATTTTTTTCATGAAATCATAGCTGTTACAATAATGAATTTATGGGGTACAATGTGATGGTTTTATATACAATTTGAAATACAACAAACGGGTTAACATAGCCATCACTGCAATTTCTTAATTATTGTGTTCAGAAATTTATACTCTACACTTAGTAGATTTGACATGTACCCTTGTAAAATGCACCATAGTTGTGGTCTGAGCAATTACCCTTCCTCCACTCATCCTTCCCCTTTCCTTCCCCTCCCCTTCCTCTTTCCCCTTTATCTTGGGCTGTAGTTGGGTTATAGCTCTCATATGGAATTGTGGGTAATTATATATTGGTTTCATAGTAGAGCTGAGTGCATTGAATACTTTTTATTCCATTCTTGGGATACTTTACTAAGAAGAATATGTTCCAGCTCCATCCATGTAAACAAAAGAGAGGTAAAATCTCCATCTTTTCTTAAGGCTGCATAATATTCCATGGTTTACATATGCCACAATGTATTAATCCATTCATGTGTTGAGGGGCACTTGGGCTTCTTCCATGGCTTAGAAATTATGAATTGGGCTTCAGTAAACATTCTGGTGCAAAAGTCTTTGTTAGAAAGTGATTTTTCGTCTTCTGGATATATACCAGGTAGAGGAATTGCAGGATCAAAATGGCAGGTCTATTTTTAGATCTCTAAGTGATTTCCAGACTTCTTTCCAAAAAAAAAAAAAAAAAAAAAAAAACCATACTAGTTTGCATTCCCACCAGCAGTGCAGAAGTGTTTCTTTCTCTTCACAACCATGCCAACATTTATAATTTTGTGATTTGTGATGTGGGTTAATCTTACTGGAGTTAGATGACATCTCAAGGTAGTTTTGATTTGCATTTCTCTGATGATTAAGAATGATGAGCATTTTTTCATGCATTTGAAGGTGATATGCCTGTTTTCTTCAGAGTTTCTATTCAAATCTCTTGCCCACAATGAGATGGGATCACTTGTTCTTTTCTTACTAATACATTTGAGTTCTCTGTGAATTCTAGTTATCAAACCTTTGTCAGAGACATAATCTGCAAATATCTTTTCTGATTCTGAGGGCTATCTTCTACCTTTACATACTATGTTCTTGGCTGTGCAGAAGCTTTTCAGTTTAGTCAGGTCCTAGTAATTTATTTTTGGTGTTGCTTCAATTGCCCAGGGGGTCCTCCTCATAAAATATTCTCCCATGCCAATTTCTTGACTGTTTTCCCTGCACTTTCTTCTAGTATTTTCTATAGTTTCACATTTTAATTTTAAATCTTTTATCTATGGAGAATATTTTTTTGTTAAAGGTGAAAGTAGTTAGTCCAGTTTCAGTCTTCTTCAGGTCACCAGCTAATTCACCCAACACCATTTGTTGAATAGGGAATCTCTCCCCTACTGAATGTTTTTTGTAAGCTTATCAAAGATCAAATGATGATAGGTAGCTGGGTTCATCTCTTGGTTCTCTATTCTGTTCAATATATAAACCTCTCTGTTTTTTGTGCCAGTACCACGCTGTTTTGATCACTTTAGATTTATAGTACAGTCTGAAATCTGGTAGCATGATTTCTCCTGATTTGTTTTTATTTCTGAGTAATATCTTGACTAGTCGAGGTTTTTGTGATTCCATATAAAACACAGTATTATTTTTTCCAGAACTTTAAAGTATGAAAATGGTGCTTTAATGGGGATTGTATTAAAATTCTATATTGCTTTGTGTTGTATAAACATTTTAACAATGTTTATTCTTCCCAGTCATGATCATGGTATATTTTTCTATTTGTTAACATCTTCAGCTATTTCTTTTCTTGGAGTTGCATTGTTCTCTTTATAGAGATGTTCCACGTCCTTTGTTAGGTAAACTCCCAAATATTTCATCTTTGTGGCACTACTGTAAAAAGAATAGAGTCCTTTACTGTTTTTTTCAGCTTGACTATTGTTGGTATATAGAACAGCTACCTATTTCTGAGCATTGATTTTGTAACCTGAGGCACTGCTGTATTCCTTGATCACTTTTAAGAGTTTTGAAGTTGTGTCCTTGGGGTTTTCCAGATATACAATCATATCATCCGTGAAGAGGGAAAGTTTGACCTCCTCAGATCCTCTTTAGATACACTTGATCACCTTCTCTTGCCTGATTGAGATGGATAAGACTTCCATAACAATGTTATGGAAGCAGTGGAGACAATGGGCAAGTTTGCCTGGTTCTGGATCTGAGTGGAAATGTGTTCAATTTTACTCCATTCAATATGATTTTGGCTGTGGGTTTGCTGTAGATAGCCTCTATCAGTTTAAGAAACAATCCCTTCTATATCTATTTTCTTAAATGTTCTGATCATAAAAGAATGTTGGATATTGTCAAAAGCTTTTTTTGCATCTTTTGAGAAAATCATATGGTCTTGTTTTTTAGTTTGTTTATATGAATTATCATATTTATAGATTTACATATATTGAACCATCCTTGAGACCTTGGGATAAAACCCACTTGGTCATAGTGTATAATTAGTTTGATGTGTTGCTGAATTCTGTTTCCTAGGATCTTATTGAATATTTTTGCATCTATATTCATTAAAGATATTGGTCTATAGATTTCTTTTCTTGGTGGGTCTTTTCCTGGTTTAGGGACCAGGGTAATATTTGCTTTATAGAATGTGTTGGGAAGTATTCCTTCTTTTTATAGGAAAAAGGTTAAGTAATGTAGGTTCTGGTTCCTCTTTAAAGGTTTGGTGGAATTCTTATGTGAAGCCATCAGGTCCCAGACTCTTCTTTTTATGTGAGATTTTGTATAGTTGATGCTATTTCAGTACTTGTTATACGTCTGTTCAAAATTTCTAGTTCTTTCTGGCTGAGTCTAGGAAGGTGGTGTGCTTCCATGTATTCTTCAATTACTTACAGATTTTAACATTTCTGAGAATAGAGTTTTTTTGTAGTAGCAATTAAGAATTCTTTTAACTTCCTAAGAGTCTGTTGTCATTTTGCCTTTGTTATATCTGGTTCATGATATTAGGGATTTTAACTTTACATTTTTGGTTAGGCTAGCCAAAGGTTTATCAATTTTGTTAAGTTTCTCAAAAAAACAACTTTTGGTTCATTGATCTTTTGAATAATTCTTTTGTTTTCAATTTAATTTAATTATGCTGTAATTTTTGTTGTGTCTTTTCTTATGTTGGGTTTGGGGTTGGAATGTTCTTCCTTTTCCAGTTGCTTAAAATGTTCCATTAATTTGTTGAATTCCTCTCTTTCCATTCTCTTGAGGAAGACTTGATATGCTATAAATTACCCTCTTAGGACTGCTTTTGCAGTATCTTACAGGCTATGATAATTCATGTCATCACTATCATTTTGTTCCCCAAATTTGATAATTTCCTTCTTAATCTCATCTATGACCCAGCTATCATTCAGCATGAGGTTATTCAGTGTCCATGTCTTTGTATGAATATGTAGATACCTGTTATTAGTGAGTTCATCTTTTATTCCACGGTGATCTGAGAAAATACAAGGAATAATTTCTATTCTTTTAAATTTACTGAGGTTAGCCTTGTGACCTAAGATGTGATCAATTTTGGAGGATGCTTCATGGGCTGACAAGAATGTGTATTTGGTTCTGTTAGGATGAAATGTCCTGTAGATGTCTGTTCAATTCAACTATTGTATGGTGAAGTTTAAGTCCAAAATTTCTTTGCTTAGTTTCTTATTGGAGGATCTATCTAACACTGCCAAAGGGGTGTTAAAATCTCTGACTATTATGGTGCTGAGATATCAAATTGTTCATGTGTTTTAGGGCCTACCTTATAAATTGTGGA